AAAAATTAAAACCAGGAATAAAGCAGAAACTGGCTACAGCAGTCATAAACTTCAGCACTCTGGCTGGTGCTGGCTGCTGACTGGAAAGGCTCCTCCATAGACAGCCCATCTGCACTTACCTGGTGACCAGAGAAAACACAGGCATCCATTCTCTCCTCCCAGAATCCTGAAATGTCATAAATATGGGCCGAATGAGCACCTCCACTCTCGCTGCTTCTGTTGATGGCACTGGTCTCACGCTTGAGGATCTGACTCAAAATACAGGGGTCAGCACCTCGGTATCCCAACTTACACCTCTACTGCTAGCCCCTGACCAAACCCAGCCATCCCTTAGAGAATCAGATTGGCTTCCTCCCTGGTCTGTTTCTAGTCCTCCCAGTACAATCCCTACCCTTACCCAATATGCTGCTAGAAGGGATCTTACAAAGGCATCTCCTGCTCAAGCAAGTTCAGTACATTCTGAGGAATGTACACACATTCAAGGCTCCTCTTCTCCCAGCATCATCTCCTCCCCTCACGGCCCCTCACCTGATTTCCCAGCCACTCAAACACACCAGTTTTTCACAGACTTCTCCACTAGAGAGAACTGTAAACAGCTCTGCCCTTCCCACAGTTCATTTTGTGGGAGAGGAAACCCAGGCTCAGAGACTACAGCACCTGCTAAAAGCCCTGGGAGTTGCGGCAGAGAAGCAGAACTCAGCACCAGGCCAGCCCTCCGCGGACACCACACTTTGCATCCTTTTGAGTGGAGCAGGCAGGCAGCAAGTGTGGAGATGCCAGAAGGGGCTGGGTGGCATTGCCTGCCCCCATAGATCCCTCTGCTTGAAAGTCAGCTGGGTGCTGGGCCAGGCCTGATGTCCATCCAGGTGGGTTCCTACTTTCAGTGCTGTGCAGTGAGCAGGGTGAGAAGCCCCAGCTCTGTGTCCAGAACCTGCCAGGGTTTCAGGGAATGGGGTGGGCATGTGCAGGACTACCGGGTGAGTGCAGGGCACGAGGAGAAAGGATTTCGTCTTTTCCTTGTTTATAAATTGCCCAAGCGTAGGTGGGGCCAGGCAGTTGAGGGTGCAGGAGAGGAGGTCTAGGAGGAGGACAGTCTGAGGCCTGGGTGAGGATGCTGTGACTAGTCTTAAAGCAAAACAGGAGGGAGACGGTGTGTTTTAGACACAGGAGGACAGGCAATGTGAGAGAAGGAAGTTGATGGAAACGTGACTATGAAAAAGTAGCTTTTCGGGAAACCACAAGCAGAGCCAAAGCCTTTTTTGATTAACCATTTTTTTTTTTTAAACCATTCAGCAGATTTTATTAAGCAAACAAAGCCTCCTGAGACTGGTTCTGTTGCCTTGATGACCACACCCACCAGCCACCTTCCCCCACCCCCAGATGTTTCCAGGCCTAGGGCTGGAGCCCTGCTGAGACCCTGTCCCACCTCTAGGGCCTTTGTGCAGATAAGTAGCAAGGGCCTCTGCCAGGGACACCTAGAGGATGTCAACTTGGGTGCTTCTCCATTCTCAGCCTGTTTCCTCAAATGTGGGATCCTAATCCCCGGCCCGTTTGCATCCCAGGGAGCCCTGAAGAGATCCCGGGAGGGGAGCACTTTGTGCACTGAAGGCCTGGAACAGGGGACTGGAGGAGGAAGGCCCAGAGCCCTTGGCTTTCAAGACAGGCCTGGCTCCAGGCACCTGCCATCCTTCCCAGGGAGAAGGAAGGCCTGATGTCTGAATTTCCCACTCTCTTCTAAATACCAGGAAGCACAAGAGTATACATGTGCCCCTTGGAGGACAAACCCATAACCAGGCCTGTCTCAGCCTGGCCACCCCCGTGCTCCCCAGAGGCTCAGACCTGGGTCAGTCTGTCCCTAGGGCCCTCTGAGACCTCTGCGCAAACCACAGGACGGCCCAGACCCCGGGCAAACTCAGATAGCACAGGTCCAGTTCTCGACTTCAAAGTATGAAAGCTGAGGCTGGGGCCCGAAGGGTCTTGCTCAGAGCCCCCACCATGTTCACTCCTGAGCCCCCACCTGCAGGCCCAGGCTGGGTGCTGGGTTCCAGAGCTGAGTCTGCCTTGCTGCCTCCAAGGGCTCCCAAAGCTGCAACCTGGAGCCCCCTCCTCCCTGCACACATTTGCCCCTGGGCTCAGCTGAGGGCTGGGATTGGCCAGCCCTGCCCTCAGGGAAGCCAGGAGGCAAGGGGGCCCCTTCCCCATCCTCACCTATACCCTTGCCACTCCTGTCCCCACCCAGCCTACCACCTCCTGCCTGGGCCTCTGCCCCAGCCTCCTCCTGACCTGGTCCTGCCTGGACCTCCCCTTGTGACCACAGGGAATGTCCTGAATCAAGTTCCCTACCCGCTAGGTCCTGACTTCCTTGCTCAGACCCTTTCCACAGAGCCTGTGGCCCTCAGGCTCCTTAGACAGGGCCCAGCACTGGCCACTCTCCCCTGACCCAGAGCCACACACGGCTCTGCCACCCTCGGACTGAGCTGCTCCCTGCAGACCAACCATCTCAGGCATTTTGCTGTGTGATGGGCTCCTGCTCCCAAACAGCCTGAGCTGGAGCCCTGGCCCCGGAAACAGTCATCTGGCCCTGACCCTGAGCTCCCGGACACTCCAGTGACCCTGCAGAGGGCAGGATGCCAGGACCCATCCTGCCCAGTGGCTGTAGCTGCTGACCATGGTTCCCCACTGGAGAGCTAAGCCCCAGCTCAGAGGAAGCTCTAGAATCAGCTCGTGTCCACTGTGTGCTTTCAACAGGCCATGGTGCGGCCCATTGCAAGCAGCCCTGTCTACAGCTATGGTCACAGAGACCACGGTGGATCAGCTCCCCCATCGTAGGCTCCTGGGATCTGGTCCTGTCCTTGCCACGCTTGGAGCTGGGGCTTCAGGGATTCCCCTGCAGGATAGTACTGCCCTTCAGTGACTGGCCACACATCTTAAGGCCAATGTCACCTTAGAGCAGTCAGCCCAGGGAAAAAGCTGAACACATGGAGTTTTCCCTTTCTTATAAATAGGTCTCTGCAAAACAGGTTATAAAACAGGAGTAGCAAACTGAAATTCCTGCCACCCAGGGAGGAATGAGTGGAGCAGGTGGAGGGATGCACACAGAGAGCCCAGAACAGCACCCGACACAAGAGGGATTTGGTCATTGGCCTGTGGGGTATGTGCCCAGGGCTGACACATCACTCATTTTTCAAGAGAAGATGTGTCTTTTAGAACAACTGCATTTTTGGGAGAAGGAAATAAAAAAAGGTTTAAAAAGAAAAAGAAAGAAAAATTGCATTTTTGTTGGTTTGTTTTAGATGGAATCTCAGTCTGTTACCCAGGCTGGAGTGCTGGGGCACAATCTCCGCTCACTGCAATTCTTGAGCCTCAGCCTCCTGAGTAGCTGGGATTACAGGCACGCGCCACCACGCCCAGCTAATTTTTGTATTTTTAGCTAGAGATGGGATTTCACTATGTTGGTTCAGGCTGGTCTAGAACTCCTGACCTCATGATCCTCTCTCACCCTAGCCTCCCAGTGCTGGGATTACAGGTGTGAGCCACCATGCCCAGCTGAAAAATTACATTTTAAAATGTTAGCCACTAATTGATTCTTCTCCTCACAAAATCACAGTGCAAGGCAAAATAAGACACAGGCAGCCAGTTCGCAACCTGTTATATACACTCCACAAAAAAAATAAATGGATCCATACAGTAGCAAAATAGTGTACAAAATCTACCAGGTAGGCCAGGGACAGACCCCTACCCCTGGGTCAGCACAAGATAAGAAGGAGAGGGAAGAAAGGTGGAGAAAAGGGCAGGAGGCCTCACAGCAACGGCCTGCCTGTCTGCAGCCTTGGGTCTTGCAGGGCTACTGGGGGATGGAAGAACTCTAAGGAGAGCCCCAACTGGGCCCTAATACCCCAGGAGCCTTCTGGCTTCTTCACTCTGGGCCTGCAGGGTCTCGCTTGCATACTTCTGGAGGAGTTCCATTTTCTTCCTTCGCACCAGTGCCTCCTCAATCTGTGGAAATTAAGAGTGCAGGGCTCACTCCTTAGCAAAGCCCTTCAACCCCTGCCAGACTCAGCCAGGAGGAAGTCCCCATGGGAAAAGTCCATTGAGGAGTCCGATTTAAATACCCAGAATAAGTCTCCAAGAGTCCCAACACCCTCCATTGGAAAAATTTGAACAATAGAATGGTCTAGAGCAGAAGGTCCTGCCCTTTTTGGATCCCACACCCTATTATGAGTACAACCACAGGTGTCATGTGGTCAGGATCCTGAGCTGCCCTGATGGGTAGGAAGGACAATGAAAACCACTACAGCGCTCTGTGCAGTCTGCTTTAGAGAAGCCCCTGGTGCCCGGGCAGTTCTTAGCTGTGGTCCTACCTCTTGCTGCGAGGGCACAGGGACATGAGCAATGAACTTCTGCTGGCCGTCATCCCCTCCTTTCTCCTGGCTGCCTTCCTCGTCCGACTACAAAGAGAACAACCAAAAGTCCATCAGTAGATGCCCAGCTAGATAAATGCTGGCAACTCTATAAAACACACTATTCTGCAGCTATTTAAAAGAAAAAAGAGATGAGGAAGTTCTGTACTTACAGAAAGACACTCGAGCCACAAGATTAAGTAAAAAAAAAAAAAGCCATAGAACACGGTGTACATTATGCTACCTTTTGTCTAAGGAGGAAATAAGAATAGATACTACTGATAGCAGTGAGAACAAGGCAGATGAGGGACAGGAAGAGGAAAGAGAATCTTTGTGGAATATCTTTATATACTTTTTCACTTTTGAACCTTGTGAATGTATCACTATTTAAAAAAATTTAAATGGAAAATAATGTATCATGTATAAAAAAAAGACCAACTCAGAGGTTTCTTATGGGTCAATACAAATTTCTAACAACAAAGAAAACAACGTGGACTTGGAAAGAGAGAGGGGTCTGGTGGCGAGTCAGGCGTCCACTGCTTGCCAGGCTCTGCCAGATACCCTACATGACCTGTTCCTTGCCTGGCTCCCAGTGGCAGTGGCTTGAAAAGACTCTTGGGGAACCTCTCATCCACTGGTGGCATTTGGAGAAACTGGTTGTATCTAACACTAAAGACACACCTACCCTGATCTGGTGGTTCCACTCTTTAGCATGTATGTACTCAACAGAAACACTGCAAGGGAACAAGAAAATTCCCAGCAGCTCTATCTGCCAAAGCTCCAAGCTGGACACAACACAAATGCCCACGAACATCAGCCACAAAAAAGTACACATGACTCCACATATGTAAAGTTCAGACACGAGTGAAACATATGGGTCATGAGAGGTCAGGAGGGTGACCCCTGAGGCAGCAGTGAGCTTCTGGCATTGCGGTCCTGTTCTGTTTCTTCACTGGTATTTGCTATGTGTGTGTGTTCACCCTGTGAAAATCCAGTGACCAACACATTTAGGAGGTGTGTACTTTTCTGTATATGAAACAGCACTCAGCAGTGAAAAGGAATGAACTACTGAACTCAACAGCCAGAGGGATGGCAAGGACATTGTGCTGAGTGTCAAGGCCATCTCGAAAGGTGACCCACAGCACGATCCCATTTATAAAATATTCTGGAATGACAAAATCACAGAGATGGAAAAAAGGTTAGGGTTCAGCTAGGGCAAGAGATGGTGAAGACAGGGAGGTGTGAACTGTGAAGGGGCGGCACCAGGGATCTTTGTGGTAAGGGGACAGTTCCCAGGCTGGAGTACCATGGTACAATCACAGCTCACTATAATCTCAACCCCCTGGGCTCAAGTAATTTTCACACCTCAGCCTCCTGAGTAGCTGGGACTATAGGCATGTCCAACCACACCTGGCTAATTGTTTTTATTTTTGGTAGAAACAGGGCCTCATTGTGTTGCTCGGACTGGTCTCAAACTCCTGAGTTCAAGCAATCCTCCCACCTCAGCCTCCCAAAGTACTAGGATTACAGGCATCACCACCACCCCTGGCCAGTTCTGTATCTTGATTGTCATGATGGCCACATGATCTCTACACATGGAGACAAATGACACAGAACTCCACACACTCATTATGCCAATGTCAACCTCCCAGTTTTGCTACTGTGCTAGAACTACATGAAATGCAACTATTGGGGGAATCGGGTAAAGCATACGCAAGATCTCTCTGTCCTCTTTGCAACTTCCTGTAGCTCTGTAATTATTTGAAAAGAAAAAGAAAAATTCTACAGTTTCCAGTGCTCTTTCCCATGACGTCAGCTCCCCATCAGCGTCCACTCACACTGGGCTGTCCTTTGTCTCTCACACTCATCACAGGATCTCTCAGCATGCAATGTGCCCCTGCTGGAAGCCCTCTCTCCTCAACTCCTCCTCCCTTGGTTAAGTTCCCTGGATCGTCCTGATCTCAGCTGAGGGGTTAGCTCCCCAGCAGAGCGTCTGCAGGCTGTCCCTGCACCAGGCTTAACTGAGGGGCTGCCGCTCACTGTCTCTCTTACTGGACTGCCTCCCCGTGGACTATAAGCTACACACCAAGCCTCTGCACCACCATGCCCCTACACCTGGAATGGGGATGGCTCACAGGAGCCATGAATTAAACACCTGCTGACAGAATAAATGAGTATTTGTACCTAGAGGAAATTCTCCTAAGGCATGCTGCCATCCTGCTTCAGACCTGCACTGAATCCCACTGGTGGCCCAGCTGGACCTGAGCAGGAACATCAGCCCTGTTATATCCTGTGTGACATTGACTAAGTCACTAAACCTGAGTCTGCTTCTTCACCAGTGGTGTCTCAGCAAGCTCCTCATGTGAAACCTGAGCCATCATCTGTGTGTGGATGATCCCCTCCCTTCTCTCAGTCCAGCAAATCAGATCCACCTGGATATGCGCAGGCAGCAAGGACTCCAAACACAGGGCACTGCAGAAGAGCTCTGCCTGGGAGGCAAGGATTTCAAATGCTGAGTTTTCCTTGTTTCAGAATACCTCCTTTAATGCAGCGAAATTTTGGTACTGTTTCATATAAAAAATAAAAGGTGTAGCACAGACAGACGTGTCAACATTACTTATATGATGGCTATAATAAAAACTAATAACTATAATGAATATGTCCTATAGGTCAGAAAATATGCAAAAGGTCTGAAATTATGCAAGGATTTCCCAACCATGACCATCTGAGAAAGTCTCTTCTCTGATCTGTGTTTGTTTCCACCTGTAAGAGGGGGATGTTAGGGCCAGGCACAGTGGCTCATGCCTGTAATTCCAACACTTTGGGAGGCCAAGGCGGGCAGATCATCTGAGCTCATGAGTTTGAGACCAGCCTGGCCAATATGATGAAACCCCGCCTCTACTAAAAATATAAAAATTAGCTGGGTATGGTGGTGCTCGCCTGTAGTCCCAACTACTTGGGAGGCTGAGGCAGAAGAATCACTTTAACCTGGGAGGCAGAGGTTGCAGTGGGCTGGGATCATGCCACTGCACTCCAGCTTAGGTGACAGAGCAAGACTCCATCTCAAAAAAAAAAAAAAAAGATGGGGGTGTTAGACTACAGAAGAGCTATTGGCACTCCCATGTGAACAGAAGTGATGAGGTCATGGACTAAAGCTCATGGCTTCCCCTGTGTTTATCCATCCAATTCCAGTTTATGCGGGACGGCCTGTCTCTAAGAAGGAAGGAAGAAAGCCCTGGTGTAAAGTACAGCCGACAGGGCACTCTCATGGCTGTTGCCTCCTGAAACTCTCCTGTAATCTCCTAAGTGTTTTCACAGCCATCCTGCAGGTGAGCAAGCTGGGCTGTGAACTCTGACTCTGCATTTTGGAGCCCAGCTTCCTCCCTGCCATACTTCATGATTTGGAGCAGATGGCAGTGAGTGCCAGAGGGGACCAACCGCCGTACCTCCTCCTCAGTGACTGCATAGATGTTTATTTCTTCCTCCTCTTCTTCCTCCTCTTCCTTTTCTCCTCTTGCCAGTCGAGCCTCTCTCTCTGCTTTCCACTTTTCCACTAAGTCAGCTCTGACTAACGACAAGAGAGGGTAGGTGCTATTTATTCCAGTCTCTAAATGAGCTTTCAACACTATACAGGGAAAGGCCAAGATGTCCCCTCTAGAAAGGGACACCCTTCATTCTGCCCCCTGGGTGGAAATGGATGTGCGGTGTGGTAGTCCTAAAACAGTCTGGCTTTCAGTGCCACAAAGCAGGTTTTTAGGGAACATTCACAAATCCTCCCCAGTTCCAAAACCTGAGTGGCTTCCCAACACACCCACATGAAAACAGAGGAGGCAGGGCAGAGCATGCTAGAAAGCAGCTCCAGCTCCAGACCATTTGCTTCCAAAGTCCTGGCTCAATGTGTCACATGGGCACTGGTATTAGCATGAATCCAGATGGTGACCTCCTGGCAGACAGGGACCAGTCAGACTTGGCTCTTGTGGCTTCCCCAACCTGCCATCTCTGGTCCACACAGCCTTGACTGCCTCTCAGGGGTCAGGGAATTAGCAGACCATCGTGCCTAAAGACCATTAGCAACAAAGAAAACTCCCTTCTGGCATAAAACACTACTGAAATTCCTGTTTTCAAAGGAGACAACAGAAAACAGATGCCATCTATTATGAAATGAAACGCCCAGAGACCTACGTTTCTTTTCATATTCCTGTTCCAAAGGCACAATAACACCATCGTCTTCATCTAGGTAACCGTAGTACTCAAAATCGATTGCCTTCATGAGCTCAGCACGTGTCTTTCTGGGAGGAGGAAGGGCTATAAGAAACAGAAACATAGTTGAGTTCCTAAGCCACAATCACACTCCAGTGAAGCTGTTTCCCAATACAATGCTACACAGCCATGTGGCAGGTATGTTCATGAAAATACCATGGATAGGTACTTTTCTATACTATTAATGGGATTATATAAGTGGTAGAGTCCTTTTTAAAATCAGTACTTTGATCTATTAGTCCATTTAAAAGCAATCTACCTGGCTGGGCGCAGTGGCTCACGCCTATAATCCCAGCACTTTGGGAGGCCGAGGCGGGTGGATCATCTGAGGTCAGGAGTTCAAGACTAGCCTGGCCAACCTGGTGAAATCCCATCTCTACGAAAAATACAAAAGTTAGCTGAGCGTGGTGGTGGGTACCTGTAATCCCAGCTACTCAGGAGGCTGAAGCAGGAGAATGGCTTGAACCCGGGAGGCAGAGATTGCAGTAAGCCGAGATTGCACCATTACGCTTTAGCCTAGGTGAGAGAGCAAGGCTCCGTCTCAAAAAAATTTAAAAAAAAAAAAAAAAAAAATGAAATCACCAGGTGCAGTGGCACGTGCCTATAGTCCCAGCTACTCGGGAGGCTGAGGTGGGAGAATCACTTGAGCACAGGAGTTCTGGGCTGTAGTGCACTATGCCAATCGGGTGTCCGCACTAAGTTCAGCATCAATACGGTGACCTGGGAGTGGGGGACCACCAGGTTGCCTAAGGAGGGATGAACCGGCCTAGGTCAGAAATGGAGCAGGTCAAAACCTCCGTGCTGATCAGTAGTGGGATCGCACCTATGAAGAGCCACTGCACTCTAGCCTGGGCAACATAGCGAGATCCCGTCTCTTTAAAAAAAAAAAAAAAAAAAAAAAAAAGAAATCTACCTAATTAAACAACAAAATCAAATACAATACAGCAAAAAGCTTCATAGACAGAAATATGCACCACAGAGTTATTTATATAATAGAGAAACCTTGGGAATAACCTAGGATTGTAAATTGCAGAATGTGTATGGGATGGGATATCCTGTAGCCCCTATAATGCTATTTCACAAAGTATTTTAGTAACACAGGAACTGTCATATGTTTAATGAAAAAGCATGACAGGAAACATAAGTAAATAAAAAAGACAAAAGTAACTATAAGCAAACAAAAAAGATGCATGAGAAAGTCCTAAAGAAGATACCTTCAGACTAGGACTACTATCCAGAATATTTAAGTAATTCATTTTTTTTTAAGACAGAATTTCACTCTCGTCATCCAGGCTGGAGTGCAATGGCACAATCTTGGCTCACTGCAACTTCTGCCTCCTTGGTTCAAGTGGTTCTCTTGCCTCAGCCTCCTGAGTAGCTGGGATTACAGGCACTTGCCACCATACCCAGCTAATTTTTGTATTTTTAGTAGAGATGGGATTTCACCATGTTGGCCAGGCTGGTCTCGAATTCCTGACCTTAGGTGATCTGCCCACTTTGGCCTCTCAAAGTGCTGGGATTACAGGTGTGAGCCACCATGCCTGGCCAAGTAATTCTTTTTTTTTTTTTTTTTTTTTTGAGACGGAGTTTCACTCTTGTTACCCAGGCTGGAGTGCAATGGTGCTATCTCGGCTCACCGCAACCTCCGCCTCCCGGGTTCAGGCAATTCTCCTGCCTCAACCTCCTGAGTAGCTGGGATTACAGGCACGCACCACCATGCCCAGCTAATTTTTTTTTGTAGTTTTAGAGACGGGGTTTCACCGTGTTGACCAGGATGGTCTCGATCTCTTGACCTCGTGATCCACCTGCCTCGGCCTCCCAAAGTGCTGGGATTACAGGCTTGAGCCACCACGCCCGGCTTAATTCTTAAAAATCAAAAAGAAAATGACAACCAACCAGACTGGTCAAAGAATAAAAGCTAATGGTATGCTAACAGTCACCTGGGATGTTTGTCAAAAGCGAAGATTTCAGGCCGGGCTCAGTGGCTCACGTCTGTAATCCCAGCATTTTGAGAGGCCAAGACAGGCAGGCAGATCACCTGTGGTGAGGAGTTCAAGACCAGCCTGGCCAACATGGAAAACCCTGTCTCTACTAAAAATATAAAAATTAGCCAGGCACGGTGGCAGGTGCCTGTAATCCCAAGCTACTTAAGAGGCTGAGGCAGGAGAATCACTTGAACCCAGGAGGCAGAGCCTGGAGTGAGCCAAGATCACGCCACTGCACTCCAGGTGCCACTGCACTCCAGCCTGGGAGGCAGAGTGAGAGTCCAATTCAAAACAAAAAAATTAAAAAACAAAACAAAACAAAAAAAACTGGAAAATAAAAGTCTGCAATGGACTTTTATGTTATGTCAGGTATGGTTAATCCATACCATGATACTCTAGTCCTTCACACCCAGTAACAGAGTACTAAGTACACCTGTGGGAGGGTACCAATGGCTATCACAACACAATGGTTATGGGAGAGCCACTATCATTTGGCAGGCCTCTATCTATCATCCCACTGTTGGTAACAGCAACTCTGTCCACCCTTCTTCCACCCTTGGGCCATGTCGTGTAAGTGGCGGTCACCATGCTCGCTGGAGCCAGGAGAGAGTGAAGGTTGAAGCCTGGCTGGCTCAGAGTACTGCATTCCTCCTGGCTATAGGGGTGGCATGTGGATGGAATTATAACCCAATCAAAACCAACTACACTCAGTTCTGGGAATTTTGCTTGAGCTGCTTGGGAGAAAAATCTGTTGCTGAAAGAACAAGATGTAAGTGGATGACAGATGATTGCCACAAGTGGAAAGCTAGGCAGAGTAAGAAGCTCACACAGTGGAAGTCAAAACTGCAACACAGAAATGTGAGCCAGATTCAGCCATGCCTGAAGGCAGACTATCCTGGGATTTCCCTGGAGTTAAGTCACCTGTCACTTATACTGATGAAATACGCATATAACTGCCTGGAAATGGGACTGGAAGATGGCTGAGTGCAGGGTTTCAGGCTTGTAATCCCAGTGCTTTGAGAGGCTGAAGCAGGAAGGCTGCTTGAGGCAAGGAGTTCAAAATTAGGGAACACAGTGAGACCCCCATCTCTACAGAAATTTTTAAAAATTAGTCAGGGTTGGTGATACCTGCCTGTGCTCCTAGCTACTCAAGAGGCTGAGGGAGAAGGATGCCTCGGACCCCAGAGTTCAAGGCTGCAATGAGTATGATTGCACCACTGTACTCCACAGTCTGGGTGACAGGGCAAGGTCCTATCTCTGAAAAAAAAAAAAATTTTTTTTTAAGGCCCGGAAAGGAGCATACCAAACAGATAATGGTTATCAGTTACCTCTGGGGATGGGGGGGCACTGGGATGAGGGTAGAGAAAAGAGGACTTTAACTTGGTGCTATATTTGAATTATACTCAGTAAAAGTCACTAAGCATTTTCTTTCTTTTTTTATTTTTTTGAGATGGATTTTCGCTCTTGTTGCCCAGGCTGGAGTGCAATGGTGGCGCAATCTCGGCTCACCACAACCTCCACCTCCCCGATTCAAGTGGTTCTCCTGCCTCAGACTCCCCAGTAGCTGGAATTATAGACATGTGCCACCATACCTGGCTAATTTTGTATTTTTAGTAAAGACAGAGTTTCTTCATGTTGGTCAGGCTGCTTTTGAACTTCCGACCTCAGGTGATCTACCCACCTCGGCCTCCCAAAGTGCTGGGACTACAGGCGTAAGGCATCGTGCCTGGCCAGCATTTTCTTTTTAAAACAAAAATCTTAGGAAAGGTACTGTGGCTCATGCCTATAATCCCAGCACTTTGGAAGGCTGTGGTGGGTGGATCACTTGAGGTCAGGACTTCGAGACCAGCCTGACCAATATGATGAAACCCAGTCGCTACTAAAAATACAAAAATTACCCAGGCATGGTGGCATGCACTTGTGATCCTGGCTACTCGGGAGGCTGAGACAGGAGAATCGCTTGAACCTGGGAGGCAGAAGTTGCAGTGAGCCAGGATCACACCATTGCACTCCAGCCTGGGCAACAAGAGGAAAACTTCATCTTGAAAAAAAATATATATAGCAACCTTTTCAATAGATGACAAAAAAGGAAAAATAAATTTAAAAACTTAAAAATCTATGACTAGAATAAACAAAAATACATTAGAAAAATGTAAATTCAAAAAACCTAACACATAGAGCATAATCACAACACAGGAACCCCCACAATACAACCCTTTAGAAACTGGAGGGAACAGCCAGGCAAGGTGGCTCACTCCTGTAATTGCAAGACTTTGGGAGGCCAAGGTGGGCAGATTATGATGTCAGCAGTTCATGACCAGTCTGGCCAACATAGCGAAACCCCATCTCTACTAAAAATACAAATTAGCCAGGCATGGTGGCATGTGCCTGTAGTCCCAGCTACTCGGGAGGCTGAGGCAGGGATATCGCTTAAACCTGGGAGGTGAAGGTTATAGTAAGCTGAGATCATGCCACTGCACTCCAGCCTGGTGACAGAGAAAGACTCCGTCTCAAAAAAAAAAAAAGATCATTTACTAAACCACTTATCATCACCATGAC